CATTTAGGAAAAAGCGATTTGATTCCTCCCATCCATCAACAACTTCCCCAATCTACAGGTAATCATAAATTGTTACTACAAGATAACCTTGTAATATCATTAAATAATCACAATCACATATTACTTTAAATGGTTGAAGAGAAAATGGAATTAAGTTCCTAACCACAACCTGCGTTTTCTTATAATCTGTCAGGTAAAAACAACCTAGTATGGTTATTTCAAACATTTCAATTGGTAAAGCTATAGGACTACTTTTTTGGAAAAAAAAACAGGGTGAAATAATGTAAACAACCTTGGGAATAATTAGCTCTGCTTTGTCATCTTTCTCCCACTTTTCCAAATATGCTGCTAGAAGATAAACCTGATAGCAATTGAAGTTTTTTTGGTCAAGGAAAAGTAATAGAAGTAAAAAACTAGCGAATTATCCAAGTTACGCACAAATTACAAACCAATTGTCTAACAGGATTATATTTCTAAGTAAAACTAATAGAATACATTTATTGTAATAAAAAAATATTAAATAGTAATTAAAAATTGACAAAATATCTAAAAAGATAACTGAATGGTTATATAAGAAAAAAACAGTTTGCAGAATAAATCAGAATCTGATCCTACAATGGAAAATGTAAAAAACACACTAACTAATATGTGATATGAAGATGTGTCACTCCTTTCCTTTCTAATCTTAAACAAGTGCTCAAGTAATTTTTTTTTTTTTTGATAAATAGTGCTCAAGTAATTTACTCCACTAGTGTGCTTTTTTCTTCCATGATGAATTTATTTACAGATCTTTTTTGTCCTTAAGCAAAGATGCAAACATTATAGTCAAACATCGACAAAAAAATGGAAAAATTAGCACAAGAGAAAGAGATGATAAATAATACCTGAAAGAATGAAGTCCTAGGCCTTGACAGAATTAATCGTATAAATGGAACACATGCCAAAGGTCGATGAGGGACAAAACCTCCTAAGCGCAGACCTACTGGAAGCCATCAATAGTAAACTTAAACAATATAAAAAATGCAATCAACGAAAACAAACACAACATGAGTGATATGCAATTATCAACATATATGATATTGATCTGAGTATAATAAAGATTACAGAGATTTGTTAGCAACATGTTTACGTATTTTCACATCCATTATCATGTTTGCACATCTGAGCATCATTTTAGTATACTTATAATTTCACCCACTTCTTCAACACTTCCAGATGTGGATAGTCACTACTTGCATTCTCATGTAAATGTTTCAATATATATGCACAACATCATAAACAATTATAAATGACAGCATACTTGCATAAAGAAATTTAGGGTTTTTGATAAGGAAAAAACTCCGTTGAAATTTTCGACGGAAAAAGACCAAAATTCTGATGAAAGTTTCAACGGACCAAAATTCCGTTGCAATTTTAGACGGAAAATATTCCGTCAAAAGTTTCGACAGAAAAATTCCGTTGCATTTTTCGACGGAAAAAAATTCCGTATTAATTTTCAATGGAAAACTATGTCGTTGCAATTTTCAACGTAAAATTTCCATTGAAATTTTAAACGGAATATTATTCCGTTGTAATTTTCAACAGAATTTGTTGTCCGTCGATATTTTTCGATTAAAAATAATTATGTGATAAATTTTTGACAGAAAATTTCAATGGAATTTAATTTCCGTTAAAATTTTTGACGGAATTTAATTTGCGTTGAAAATTTCCGCCTCAAAATTCAACGGAAATTTTTTCCGTCTCTATTTTCAACGGAATTGAATTTTCGTCAAAAATTCCATTACTATTTTTAATGGAATATTTTCCGTTGATAAATTCTGTCGATAATAGAGCTTTTTTTAGTAGTGTTATCAAAAGTTTTTTTAATATCATCACTCAATTACTCAGTGTCGCATAACCAACTTTTTTATCAACATAACAAGTTAACAACACATGACTGAGTAATAATTAAACAATTTCAAATTAATATATAATATATCAAAATTAAACAAATTCACTTCATATCTAGACTGCATAAAAGTAAAACATAAATTTAATTGATTTTCTACTATATAAATTATTTTATTACCATTACTTATAAGTTAAATAACTTAACTAGTAAAAGTAAAAAGTACCAATTTCAAGATTTAAACTAAAATCAATCTAAGTCAACTGAAATCCAACTAAAATTAAATAATTTCTTTTGTTCATACACAACTAAAAAAAATGATTTTAAAATAAGAAAGTGGTAGAAGCTCGATGAATTTTTTTTTTAAGGTGTACACTAGTTTTTTTTTTTTTTTTAGTTGTCATACACTTTTTTAATTATTACCTTATTTTAAAACAATATTTACAAATTTTACTCTCCAATCTAATGATTAATGATTTGATCTCTTCCTCCTTCTCTTTAAAATACGTCACCAAGAAGAATGAATAAATTGTATTTTATTCATTTTTCGATCTATTTTTTCTTTAAAATATTTGTCTTTTATTTCTTATTATTTTTGTTTTTATCTAAATAATATATTTTTCTAATAATTTTAATTGAAAAGAGAACTTACGAAAGATATTTTACTAAATAATTTATTTTTAATTTGAGATTAAAGTAACTTTTAAGTAAGATTTTTTATATAATTATAAATAATTTTTTGCTTTATTTTTAAATTCTTATTTTCAACCTTCACTTAAAAATATTTTTTACTTAAGAAAAAATACTCTAAAAATATTTCGAAGAAAATTATTAAAAACCAAATACAAGAGGTATTTTTAAATTTTTTATTTCATTCGCTTATTTGAAAAAAAAATTATTTGTAATATTACCTTGACCTGAAGCTTGTGGGGTCACATACAGTTAAAGGTCAACTTCATAAAAAGGAAAGAAAGAATCTCTCCCTCCCTGGCATGTCAACAAGCATTCCATAATAGTTTTATAAAATAAATTGCGTGGGAATAGCATTGCTCTTACAAAATCCAAGTAAAGGACTGCTATATCTTACGAAAATTGTCTATAAAATAATTCAAAGATGACGTAGGTAAAAAGATTATGCTGTCTCTTACCTAAACTTTAATAATTAAAAATTTTAAATAAAAAGTATAATATTATTCAAACAGCAAACACAATAATGTATCATTCGTAAGTTTTATACTAAAACGCTTACGTGACAAATTAATGAGCAACAATTTGTAGCATTCTTTGATGAACAGTTTTGTTTAAATGGGATAGATGATAATCAAATAATCACTCTGGGTGGCTATATAACTTCTAGTAACAATAATCAATGTGCTATATATATGCATATCCAAACCCAACTCTAAATCTTCCCAAGTACTCTATAACGGTTCAGGGGAAACTGTTTCTTCGAAACAGAACCTAGTACACATATACCGGGCTCATATTTGAGGAAATAAAAAATAATGCAATGTTGACTCAATTCGGTGAAAAATAAAGCAGTGAAAGGAGGGGTCACGCTGCACCCAACGTCACACGAAATTAAGAAACTTGATTTAAAAACAATAACATATTTAGCACCTAAATGTTTTCTCTTTTTGTGCGGAATAAGCTAGCTGGCTGTGATTTTATTATTTCGTATATCCTATGATGTGCGAGGCTTAGCTTAATGTGTGACCCATGCCCTTTTCCATGTCATTAATTTATTCGTCGTTTTAAGTATCGTTTTAAGAGCCAGTTTGGATGAGTTTTTTTTTCCTTCAAAAGCTGCTTTTATTCAAGAAAAGAAGCACTTCTCGTTTTTAGTTCGTTTGGATGTCTGCTTTTAAAAAAAAGAGAAGTCACAAAAAAAGTCAAAAACCTACTTTTTCGGAAGCTAAAATTTTTAACTTCTAAGAAAAGCAGAAGTCAAAACCAATTTTTTTTTCAAAAACTAAATATTTTTATAAAAATATAAATACCTTTAACTTTTGTAAAAAGTACTTTTAAAATAAGGAAATAATAAAAGTTACTTTTTTTTTTTTAAGGCGAAACAAACGACCTCTAAGTATATTAAGAAAAGTCAAACACGGAGTATAGAGCTTCAGTAATTTGATTAAGTGAACGAGGGCAACAGAAATAGGATCAAGTAGCGTAGATAGAGTTAGTATCTTCAGTTACTTACTCTCACACTTGACAGGTTTGGAGTTGGCATATCACATTGTATATTAAGAAAGTGACCATTTTACTAACGACGCCAATGACGCTGACCGTATATTAAGTGCATATTCTGTTTTTCTATAGTTTTTTATATCACTAAATTATTCATTGACGCATAACCAACTGTTTTAACAACATAACAAGTTAACAACACATGATTGAGTAATTATAAAAAAATTTCAAATTAATAATATATCAAAATTAAATAAATTCATTTCTTATTCAGACTGCATAAAAGAAAAATATAAATTTAATTGGTTATTTTATTATTTAAATTATTTTATTGTTATTATTTATAATAACTTAAAGGTTCCATTTTTCTGGAGTTATGATAGATAAATTTATCTGTCACATACACATATTCACCAGAATTTGACGTCGGATCCTGATAGGTAGATAGGTGTTTGTGTCAGAAAAAAGTATTTCTGACGCAGAGAAATACTTTTTCCTAAGTTAAATAGCTTAAAAGTATAAATTTCAGATTTAAACAAAAATCCAACTAAAATTAAATATCTATATATTTTTTGTTTATACATAACTAAAAAAATGATTTTAAAATCATATCAATTTCTTTTTTATATTGTTCTAAATATTTTTTTATAAATGAAATTAGTAGAGGAAATATTTCATTCCAAACACAGTCGATAAGAATATTATTTCTTTCTTAAACTACATGATAATTAATAAATAACTTATATTTACTATAAGCTGAAAATGGTGACCCATCGCAGCCAAGCCAGTTTGCATAGCGACTAGCGAGTGCTATAAATTGAAAGCCATTGCTAAGCATTTTCCGCAAGTGAAAACAACATGGCTTCATCACCAACCCTCTCGAAAATCCCTCTGTCTATTTTTTCTCTCTTCTTCGTTTCAGTTTCTTCTGGCCTCATCAGTGACCGTGACTTAAACACACCAAATCCAAAAGCTGAAAAGCTTATAAGAGGTCTTAACCTATTTCCAAAAGATCCAGTTAACATAAGACTTGGTGACACTGTTGGTTTTGTCCCTGGAAAGATCGTTGAGAAGAAGTTTTCGTTTATTGGTGCTTCTGGACCTTCTGTTGAAGACCTTGGTCACCATGCAGGGTATTATTCGCTTCCTCGTTCTAAAGCAGCAAGGTAAATATGATACGCGTATTTTCTGTGATTTTGAGGGGTTATTAATAGGCATGTACATAGGTTAAGTAACCTAACCAGAGGTACACGGCTCGAACTACATCAATAGGATGAAACCTAATATGTTAGAGACGTACTTTTATAAGATTTAACTTATATTATATTATTTATTTTAAATAAAATGAAATAGAATAAATTAATATTTAAATACTTCTAAATAATAAAATAATGTTAGTTTAGTTATTTTTTTTATTCTTAATAAATATGATAGGGTTAAATAGGTAAATAGGTCTAGCTAGGCTATGTAATCACAATGACTGTTAAGTTATGATTAAGTTTGAAATCATATCACGAAACCATGGAAGTGAAAGTGAAATGTTCCCTTTCAAATATAGGAAAAATCAGACATATAATTTAATCGGCACTAAATTAATAAGACGAGTTAGATTTTCTATATTGAGACAAAATAGAAGTCCGGAATGCCAAAGTGCTAGGCGATTCAGATTAATGTGGAAAATAAAAAGAGCGTCAAAACCAAAGGATATTTGTCCATAGGCTTTAATGTTTTTATAGCGAATCTACGTTCATTTTCAAAACGACGTTATTTTGAGTTGAAAGATTAAAAAATTATAATGAGAAAAACTATTATAACCCTGAAATAAATTATAATTACAAAAATACTTTACTTTTGGCCCCAAAACGTCATTTTGAATTTAATGTAGATAATTTATCTATATTGACTGTAGAGAAAAAATGAACCATGTTTATATCATATTAATATAATTTCACAAGGTTATATCATTCGTGCGATTCTCAACAATTCTAAATTTAATTAACGTCAAACGGCCATTACTTGTTTGCAAAAGTTTAATTAATGTAGGTGCTGTTTATTTTGTTTCCTTAAATCAATAGATTTAAATTTGACTTTTGAAATACATTCTCAAATGTGGTCCTGATTTGAATAGCCATATTTTCTTTTACGATTTGCAGGATGTTCTACTTTTTCTTTGAATCCCGGAACAACACGAATGACCCTGTTGTCATATGGTTAAGTGGAGGTCCAGGGTGTAGCAGTGAATTAGCTTTGTTTTACGAGAATGGTCCTTTCAAGATTGCCAATAACTTGTCTCTGATATGGAATGATTACGGCTGGGATAAGGTAATAATCATTGTCATACCAAAGGCATTGTTTAATTCAGAGAATCAAGTTGTTGCACCAAATATTATAGGTATCAAATATTATATTTGTTTTCTCATTCTCATCAACATGGTGTTTTCTCATTCTCGTCAACGTGGTGTTTAATCATTTTGTAGGTATCAAATATTATATTTGTTGACCAACCAATTGGGACAGGTTTCAGCTACAGTTCCGATTATGCAGATATTCCCCATGATGAAGTGGGTGTTAGCAATGATTTGTTTGACTTCTTGCAGGTAATGTAGAATCTCTTCTTTCCCTAATAGAAGCCAAGCCAAGCTTATTAAAATATAGAGAAGAATATATATATGTTGTATACTTGTATATAAATAAGATCCACTAAATCTTACTATAATGACAGGCATTTTTCAAGCAGTACCCCAAGTTTGCTAAGAATGATTTTTACATTACTGGAGAATCATACGCTGGACACTATATTCCAGCTCTTGCATCCCGGGTTCACCAAGCAAATAAAGAAAAACAAGGAATTTATATAAACCTCAAGGTCTTTATACTATTTCTTTTATAATTTATATTGTGACTATGAAAGGATAATTAGTTTAGCCTTGCTGGTATTGATTTATTTGATCCAATATAATAACAGGGCTTTGCTATTGGTAATGGGTTAACAAATCCTGGAATTCAGTACCAAGCATACACAGACTTTGCATTAGACACGGGATTAATTTCAAAGGCCGATTATGAAAATATCACAAAGTTAATCCCAGGGTGTGAGAATGCCACAACAACATGCAGTACAACTTCCCCTAAGTTCTTTTCTAGTTTTCCCATTTTCACTCACACATCCCTTTTTACTAATTTATTGTGCTTTGTATATTATATCTCTTTGTGATGTTCATTGATTTGTGTTTGATTTGTCAGACATCGAAGGTGGAGAAACTTGCTTGACTGCATTCAATGTTTGCGAAAACATATATGATGATATTTTGACTATTGCTGGCAACATTAATGTAAGAAATCATGAAAGAACATTGTTTATTATCATTTTTTTTCCTGTTCAACATAATAATGTAAATCGAGTTGACTTACTGCATTCTGCTGATATGAGAATTGCAGATCTATGACATCAGAAAGAAATGCGTGGGAGAATTGTGTTATAACTTGACAAGCGTAGAGACACTTTTAAACCAGAAAAGTGTGAGGGATGCTTTAGGTGTGGGGGACTTGCAGTTTGTATCATGCAGTACAACAGTGTATAATGCTATGTTGCAAGACATTATGAAAAACCTTGAAGTGGGAATCCCTGCACTTCTTGAGGACGGAATCAGAATGCTTGCGTATGCTGGGGAATATGATTTCATATGCAATTGGCTTGGTGAGCCATCTTGATTCATTTCAATCCAAAAAAAGTTGTATGTTGGATTGCATTCTTGATGTTCTTCTCAATTGGCAGGGAATTCAAGATTGGTTTATGCCATGGAATGGTCAGGTCAAAAGAAGTTTGGGGCATCACGTACAGTGCAATTTAGTGTTGATGGTGCGAAAGCAGGGAGTCTGAATAGTTACGGACCTCTCTCTTTCCTCAAGGTTTGTGTTCAGGGGTGTACTCTTGACCCTAATATATATTGCTAATTAATAACACATTTGCTAACTTTATTTTTGTGATACAATAGGTATTTGGGGCTGGGCACATACTCCCTATGGATCAACCAAAAGTTGCACTTCAGATGGTGAAAAGCTGGATGGATGGGAAATTGACCGGGGCAATGAAATGAGATAATGTCTCTCTTAATTGATGCAATCACTGCAAATTAAAAACCAACCTCCTCTCACATGAATAGTGATCACATTTTCTTGTGTACATGACTTCATGTATTATATTTGGAGGGTGGAATATATATATATATATATATATATATATATATATATATATATATATATATATGGTGTGTGTGTGTTTTTCTTTATTAAATTCATCTTCTTTATATCTTTGTTAACACAACAAGACGAGAATTCGATCCGAATACGAATAATATAACCTGTTTATTTTGTGAGTTGACACGGTACGACACGAATAACTCAAAAACTCATAATGCAGGTTGACAAGAATGACACGTCATAACACAAATAATCTGTCAACCACAAATTGTATTACTTTTTATGCGGGTAGACACAACACGATAAAATACGAAAAAACCTGTTTATATATATACAACAAGACACGATACAATAACCTATAAGAAATTAATGCGAGTCGTTTCGTGTTCGCATGTTGATACATAACAAGACACAATTTTTTTCAAATCAACTTTTGTCAATCCGAACATGAACGAAGTTGAAAACGGATCGACCCGAACACAATTTTTTCGTGTCATGATCATCTCATCTCATCTTAGCAGGTCGTATCGATAATTACGTTAACCAACTGTGCACAATCTTTGTGTTGATTCTGTATAAGAAATTGTCAATTATTGAACAATAATCAAATATATTCAGCATGATGCCAAGTGATATATTCATAAGCGATTCATTCCATTGCCATGTCATAAACTAGAGGTAAAATACGACAAAAAAACTAAAACAAACAAATTTTTCAAATGGGCCGAAGATGTGGTTTTACCAAAAATGAAGTATAGTACTAAGTTTATAAACTTAAAGATATAATTAATCAAGTAGAATTGTGTGACAAATTTACAAAAGTCATGCCCACGGTTTAAAGTGAAATTAAAATACTTAGTCATTTCACTTAAATGACACGGTGTTGTATTGTATCATTTATATATTTGTTATGGACTTGACATAAAAGCTCACATTCTAGAAGGCTCAAGAAGAGCTAATGTAAGAACCTGCACCGCTAAATTAAGAATTTAAATGATTAATTATGAATTTAAGAAAATACTTCCATAATTGACTTGAATAATTATTAGAAAACTTAAATAATTATTATAAGGGATTAATTACACTGAAAGCCGCTTTTCTGACGAAAAATGCAGATACCGATTCTGTTTTGCGGTATAAGTGCGTACCGGGGAAGTATCCCGAAAAATTATAATAAGTGTATGAATATTCCTAAAATAATATTTAGGACTGGTATGTCAAGTTTGAAGTCAAAATAATGAGTATTTGTGTCAGAACTTATACCGACTGCATGAAAATGCGTACCGGAAAAGTATTGCGAAAAAGTATTATAAAAATATGACAAATCTTAAAAAATGGCTAGGTTCAGAATATGAAGTTTGAGATTAAAATGATAAGCGTAACTATTATACTAATACAGTGGGATTAAACTTAAGTGCGCCTATAAATACATGGGCACAAGTCCCTAGGTCATAATTTCCATTCCTCTACGTGAGTTTTCTGAGTTCCTTGAGTGCAGCCACCTTCTTCCCTCCATTGAAGCTCCAAGAGACCACTTTTTCTCTTGCCTTCTTCACAAAATTTCCTTGTATGAGTGTGTTCTAGCCTTAGGAGGTTGAAAGGCCAACCATTTCTGAGTTTACAGCCCCTATTTTGAGTGTGAGAGTTGCTGACCTTGTGTTTGTGAGGTGTGGGAGCCATTTCTATGCCACTTGGTGCTTCAAGAAGCCACCTTTTGGTATAAAGGGCTAAGCTTGGTGATCAAATTCGTGATCTTGCAAAGTCAGAACTTGTGAGTTGTGTTGAGGGCTCCAAATCACCTTCTTGCTTCTGAGTTCTTGAGCCATAGGTATACCTTGATCATTCCTCTTGAAAATCCATGATTTTAGCTTATTTAAGTCACTAAAAGAGGGAACTTTGATTAATCAAGCTAAGAGTTGTTAATCTATGCATGTTTAGTGTTTTTGAACATTTATTTTTGTGAAAAACCGAACCTTGGATCATGGGAAGCCATTACCACTTAGGATTATGCAGAAAAATTATGCAGAATGTTGTTCTGTCCGCGTGGTAATCGATTACCTTTCACTTGGTAATCGATTACCATGTGCAGCAATCGATTACTCTGTTTTGGGTAATCGATTACCAAGTGCAGTAATCGATTACCAAGTGTTCGGTAATCGATTACCACCTGTCAGAATGACCTGAAACCAGTTTTAATGCGTGGGAAAGTTCTCATTTGGGCATGAGGCCCTAGAAAGTCAGGGTTACTATCGGGAAACAATAATACCTTTAATTGTGGGCTTAATGCTTGATAATTATGAACTAGAAAAGATGTAAACGAAAAAGAAAACGTTATCATAATGTAATTAATGTCTAGAGTTGGAATGTTGATAATGTTTCTATTGTTAAACAGACCGTGAGTGGGTTGTTTGGTGACTGTGGGCTGTTGTGGACTCTTGACTTGGGATTGATCGCTTAAGAGGTAAGCTTTCGTATCCTCAGTTTTGCCCATTGTTGGTTCCACCATACTTCATGGAGGGATGGTTATATGCATGCTGTGTTTTTGTGAAAATATGAAATGATTACTGATATGCTATTGAGCTGTGATATTGAGTGCAAGTGCCATATGATATGTATGTAGTGTTCCACCTAGACGGTAAGCCTGAGTATGTGGCGACATACAAGATAGTGATTCTGTGGGTGAGGTACAAGCGGGGTCCTTGTACCGTAGGTTGTAGACGTATGTATTCCCTACATTTTGTTCTTTGGCCAGTAGGATGTTGACACACATGACATGGATATATCCTGCATTGCACCGATTTTGAAACTTATACTGTTTTACTGTTTTAGGACTTATATTGCACATGTAAGTGAGCTTGGGGTGGAGAGATCTTTGAGGACCCCTTGTCTTACTGAGATTTCTTTTTAGAGATCTCACCCCGTGTTGGGGCACATTTTCAGGTTCAGGTACCTCGGGGGTTGAGACCTCAGGCAGCAGGAGGCTGGAGTTGAGCTGACTGATGCATGCTTATGATTTAGCTATTTTACATGATTATGCCTGATTCTCCTGTTATGACTATTGTATTGAGACTTGATGTTATGTTGTTTATTTGGTGAGCATGGGGGTTGTCCATGCCACATTGATTTCAGACTTGTTGGTTTATGTTGGAGTTGTATAATGTATCAGGATATTGTCCGGTCTACGTGTTGTAGTATCGTGATTAGATACACACTTATATTATAAGGTTATTCTTTTAGTTGTTTAATTGCAATTTACATACACGCAATGTTTTGAAAAAGAAATAAGTAATCAACTCGGTTAATAATAATGACATCATAATTGAAAAGAAAAAATTAGCTTCCGCATTTAATTGAGCTGCGCTTAATACTGTAATATGATAACAATCCGGGTATACACGGGGTGTTACAGCTAACAACTAAGAAAAATTTAGGAAAGATTCCTTAATTATACTAATCATAGTACGACATTAATGGATCAAGAACTGGGTCCCCAATATTCTTAAGGAGGCCCAAAAATCCACTTCTCCCAAGTAACTCATCTATAAATAAAGGGTTAAACCAACTAAGTATACACATTCTAAACCCTTTCTCTCTTGATTGTCACTGTGCACACACCACACCCTTTGGCTATGCTGTTATTATAGTGCACAGTGATCCACTATTCTCTAAGATATATACCTCCCCCATATGTACCTAAAAGAATGCATTTTGATCCTATATAAACATACCAATCTATGATTGATAGTCTCGATCCTTCTAGGATCGAACATTGGCACCGCCTGTGGAAAGATTTGAAAGTGCAACTTGGCCATTGATCCAACCCTTTTTCAAGACATTGGAGTTGTAGTAGTGGTTCAGTTTTTCCCTTTCTGCTACTGATTGCAAACTTTGTAACCCGTTTTGGTAAAAAAATGAGCTGAACTGGCAGGTTAGGTACTTGGCTGCCTTCTCATGCTCTGCATCTATTGGATTATAATTTGATTGCGATGGCAGCTGCGCCACACTCACCACGATTGGATAGAAATCGAAGTTTATTTATTTTCACAAACAACCCATATTCTAGAAGGCTCAAGAAGGACTAACAATATATATAACACTTTTATAAAAATATTTTCTATCTGTTTTATGGTTGATTTCATTAACTTATTTACAGAAAATGAAATTATGTAATGCAGTTACAATTTTTTTTTAAACAACTTTAAAAAAATATTTTCCTCAAAATAATGTTCATATCCAAAAATAAATAAAATTTTCTCTGTTGAATAATTAATATCTGTTTGACCGGTGTTTTTTAACTTATCTTCTTTTTATAAAGAGCAATTATGTCGAACATATTTTTAATTTAGGAGTTTGATACGACACAACATGGATTTAACACAAAAACAAATGCAATCAATATGATCATGACACGAATTTGAAAATGAGTCAAAACTTTTGACACGAACACAATACGCTTATTTTACGGGTTGACACGACACAACATGAATAATCCACCAACCTCAAGTATGTTACTTTATTAAGTGAATTAACACAATATGACACGAATAACCTACCAATCTCAAAATATATCATTTATTATGTGAGTTAACGAGATACAACATGACAATAATAAACTGTAAAAAGATCGACATGAGTCAATTTCTTGTGTGCGGATTAACACGTAACACAACCAACTTTTTTTTAATCTGATCCTCCTTCTCTTCAAAATACTCAAAAAGTCGTCAAGAATAATGAATAAATTATCTTTTTTTATCTATTTTTCCTTTAAAATATTCATCTTTAAAACATTTATATTTTATATTTTATTATATCTGTGATTATCTAAATAATAGAGATCTCTAACGCTTTTTTGGTAATTTAAATTCAAAGTGGTTTTTATGAAAGTTATTTTATTAAA